CCAGAGGCCAGAGGGTCCCAGCCTACCCATGTCCCTGCGGCGGGTGACATCAGCGAGGGTTCCAGACCATCTGTGTCCCCTGTGCCATGTCCCTTTGTCCCCACAGCCTCGAGGAATGTCCTGTGGGTGATTGAGGGGACCTCCTGCGACCTGCCCTGGCAGGCTGCCCTCTTCAAAGGCGAGAAGTTCATCTGCGGGGGGACGCTGGTGGACAAGAACTGGGTGCTGACGGCCGCCCACTGCCACGTCCCGGGGTAGGAGGCCGTGGGGGCAGCGGTGCCCGGCGGGTTTGGTGTCGATGGGCTGAGGCCAACCAGGAATTGGTCCAGGTGGCACCGGCGGTCCTGCTTTCCAGCCAAGCAGGTTGGGAGGGTTGATGGCATCTCAGTGGGCTTCACTCTGCCCCTTTTCTGCCTGCGTATAACCTAAACTCTGCCCTTTTTTTGGGAAGCCGTAACCTTAATTCTGCCCTTTTTGGCTTTTGCTGCTTCTGCCCTTATCACCACCCACTGGGACCACGGCTCTGACTCTGCCCCTGCTTTGTGTGGGTCCCCGTGGCCCCCTGCGTCCAACGTGGACCCCCCCTGACACCACCAACCCTGATGCCTTTGGCTTCATCAGCTTCATCAGCGTGCGGCTGGGGGGCCAGAGCCAGAAGGACTCAGGTGGCACCGAGCAGTGGCGGCTCTCGGCCAAGGTCTTCAAGTACCCGCGCTACAATGAGACCAACAAGGACGGCGACCTGATGCTCATCAAGTTCCTCCTGCCTGTCCACGTCAACAAGCAGGTGAAGCCGCTGCCACTGGCCTCCCACTGCCCCGTGCCCGGCAAGACCTGCCAGATCTCAGGCTGGGGGTCCACCACCAGCCCTGAAGGTACGAAGTGGGTCACCTGGGGACCCAGACATCTGGGGTGCACTGATAACCCCTAGATGTGTGTCCCCTCCCCTGGGACCCAGGTGTCCGGGCTCCCCCAAAGTCCCCCTCCCAGTCCCGTTGGTCCCACTCTAACCCTCAGGCACCCTTGACCCCTGAGGGAACCCAGGCGTCCGGGTGACCTGGTCAGGACACCGGGAAGCCTTGGAGCTCCTGCTCGGTGCCAACAAGAAGAAGAGGGGAGATGAGCTCCAGGGCAAAGAGGACAAGAGGTCCAAGCTGGGTCCGGGCTGGACCGGCACTTGGTGCGTCCCCCCCGAGTGACCTCATGCTCTCCATCACCTGCAGTCACCTTCCCTGAGGACCTCCACTGCGCCAAGGTCACCATCGTCTCGGAAGAGCAGTGCCGGCTCATCTACCCCAGCTCCATCACCACCAACATGGTGTGCGCGGGCGAGTCGCGCAGTCGGGCTGACTCCTGCCAGGTGGGTGCAGGGTCCGGCTGTTCGGGGACCCCTGGATGAGGTCCCATGAGGGAAGGTTTTTGGCTGAGAACGGGCACAATTCGGTGCAGCCGGCAGCACCTAGAGGGGATTTGGGTATGCAGGGTGGGAGGTGCGACGGTGTCACTCGGGGTGGGGGGGAGAGGAGAGCATGTCCTTGGTGGGATTTTGTGGGTGGAGATGCCAGGCCAGCCCTGAAAGGGCCCCAGATTTGGGGTGATTCTTTGGGGTGGGCCATGAGTCCCAGAACCCCCCACACGCCACCCCTCTTGCCTCATCAGGGTGACTCCGGGGGACCCCTCATGTGTGACGGGCGGCTCCAGGGTATCGTCTCTTGGGGCCCGGGCATCTGCGGGGACCCCAAGAAACCCGGCGTCTACGTCAACCTCTGCAAATACACCCAGTGGCTCCAGGACACCATGAGAAGGAACTGAGCCCCCCCTCCCCAGTCCATCCCCAGCCCCAACGGCCACGGGATGGACCCCACGGCTCCTCCTCCCTGATGAAGGTCCCCAGAGCCGGCCGGTCCGAGCACTGGGGCGCATGCCCTGGGGATAGGGGGGCAGGGGTTGACCACGGGGCCCTGTTGCGATGTCAATGAATAAAGGTTTTTGACGTGGCTTTTCACCATGTCTTTAACGGGTGGAGCACAGCTCTGGGAGGTCAAGGTGCCCTGAGTTGCCCCAGATCTCAGAGGGGCAGGAGAAGACCCAGCTCACCATCTTCGGCGTAGACCTGTTGGCCTTGTCATGGGGTTGACCTGTTGACTCCACCATGGGAGTTGCCCTGGCCATGGGGTAGACCCGTTGACCCTGCTACAGGTAGACCTGTCGACCCCACCGCGGGGCAGATCTGTTGGCCCCACCGTGAGTTAGACCTGTTGACCCCACTGCAGTGGACCTGTTGACCCTACCGTAGGTAGGCCTGTTGACCCCGCCATGGGGCAGGCCTGTTGTCCCCACCGTGGGGCAGATCTGTTGGCTGTTTTGGGGTCACGCAGGGCTCTTCGCACCCCCAGGAGGGGACAAAAATCCAGCTTGGTGTCCCCCCATAAGAGCAACAAACCCTTGCAATGCCCCGGAGCCAGACGCTCCTTCTTGGTGCTTCCATTCCAGCCCCATCTCCATGGGCCAGCGTGTGACCCGGGGAGGACTTCCCGTCCCCCAGAGGGGAGAAATGTCCTGTGACTCAGCGGGAGCAGAAGGGGCCAAATTGCCCCACCTGGGGTAACTTGGCAGCAGATCAGGGCTGTTTTGCCTCCCCGACGGGGAGCATCCACGCTGGCTCGCGAGCGGGAAGAAATCATCTGCTGGAGGCCAAATTTACCTGTTCACATGGAGCTGAGGCCTCTATTTTGCAGGAGGGGGTGGGATTTTTTCTCCTCCATGGGGTCATCATGGTCCCATCTTGGTGGTGGGGTGGGATGGAGAGCAGTGCCAGCCCGGCTTCACCATGGCGTGTCTACAGGACGTGGCGGCGGGGTTGGTGGGCTGCAGAAGCACCTCGATGTCTTCCCCGGTGCAAGAGGAGACCTGGCAAGGTCAGACCATCACGTGTCGTCCCCCGTGGCTGAGCGGGACAGGGAGCGACGCCGGTCACCTTGCGCAAGGTGTCACCCTCCCTCTTCCCCCACGTGGCCGAGGCCCGGCGCGTTGGAGGGTGTGGGCCTTGTCTGGCTGCGACGGTGGGGAAAGAGGTTTTGGTCCAGGTCCAAATCCCCAGGGAGGTGGAGGAACAATTGCCCGTCACTGCTGGGGCCAACGGTGGTCATTCCCGTGAATGCTCAGCATTTCACAGGAAGGTTCAACCACCTTTCAGCATCCCATGAAGGTTTGACTTGGAGGGTCCCACGTTGGTGGCCATCAGCTGTGGTGGGCTGCCACATTGGGCTCCAGCACAGGCAACTCCAGCTCGTTCATCATCCATGGAGGGCTGGTCAAAGTGCCTATTGGGCTCTCATTAACGTGTCCATGGAGGTCTGGGCAACGTGTCCATGGAGGTCTGGTCAACGTGTCCATGGAGGTCTGGTCAATGTGTTCATGGAGCTCTGGTCAACGTGTCCGTGGAGCTCTGGTCAACGTGTCCGTGGAACTCTGGTCAACATGTTCCCGGAGGTCTGGTCAATATGTCCATGGAGATCTAGTCAACAGGTCCACTGGAATCTATCAGTGTGTTTACGAAGGCACAGTCAAGGCATCCATCGGGGTCTACCTAACATGTCTATGGAGGTCTAATGAGGTCTACCCCCTGTGCCCATGGAGGGTTGGTCGTCACATTGTTGGGGTCTACACAACAAGGCCGTGGAGGTCTGGTCAATGCAGCCCTTGGGGGTCAAGCCAAGATGTTCATGGAGGTGTAGGTGGCACAGCCAGGTCCATGGGGTCTGGAAAGACACCATGTCCGTGGAGGTAACATTGAACCATGCCAGGAACAGCTGGAGCACGGCCACTGCCACCGCATCCAAGAAACTGGCACCACTGGCACCCGACAACACCACTCCTGTGTCACCCGTGTCCCCTGAGCCACCCCCTGTGTCACCCAGGGCACTGCCACCCATGTTGCTGCCAGCCCATGTGTCACCCAGGGCCACCACCACCCCGCTCCCGGGTCACCCAGGGCACTGCCACCCCCTTGTGTCACCCAGGGCACTACCACCCACGGTGCTGCCACCCCACGTGTCAACCAGGGCCACCTACCATGTCACCCAGGACACTGCCACCTCTTGTGTCACGCAGGGCCACCCTGGACACAGCGCTCCCAGGGCTGTGAGGAGACAGGGAACAGGGATGGGGGGTGGCATGTCGTCCCCCCCCCACCACCACTGTAAGCTGGCAGGTGGCCCAGGAGGTCCTGGGTGGCCCTGGCAGTGGGTGGCAGGCCCAGGCTGGCTCTGCCTGGGCCCGCAGGGTAATTAGGTAATTAGCACTAATTACACCACCGAGATGGGACCTGAGGAACTGGGAGAACTGGTTGGACCCAGCCCCAGCCCCCAGCGCTGTGCTAATGTCATCGCG